CTATGGCATTTCTTTCTGACAGGAAAGACTCTCAAGATGTCTGAGCTGAGAATTGTACTTGTGGGCAAGATTGGGGCAGGGAAGACCTCAGCAGGGAACACCATCCTTGGCAGAAAGGAGTTCAGAAGTGAAGGGGCAATATGTGTGAAGAGACAAGGTGAAGTAGCTGGGAGGCAGGTCACTGTGGTGGACACTCCAGGGTGGGACAGAGTCAACATGCAGCGCACACCAGAACAGGTCAAACAGGAGATTGTGCGCAGTGCGTCCCTGTGCCCCCCAGGACCCCACGCTTTCCTCCTGGTCATCCCTGTGGGGGAGTTCCCAGAGAGAGAGAAGAAGACCGTGAAGAAACACCTGTATCTTCTTGGTGAGAGAGCGTGGAGACACATGATGGTCCTCTTTACATCTGAGGAGGAGCTGAGGGACACGGCCATTGAGGAACGCATTGAGAAAGAAGGCGAGTCCCTGCGGTGGCTACTCGAGAAGTGTGGGAACAGATATCATTTCCTCAGCAGTGCACCCGACTGCCCCCGCACACAAGTCACAGAGCTGCTGAAGAAGGTAGAGCAGATGGTGGAGGAAAACTGCGGTGACTTCTACCTCCCTCAAGTTTACTATGACATCATAGAGAGCAGAACACCGAGAGAGCTGACTGAGCTGAGAGTTAAATATGAGGAGAGAGAAGAGCAGCTGAAACAGAGATTCAGGAAGAAGGAAGAGGAGATGAAGAAGAAGTTTGAGGAGGAGTTCAGCAGGAGAGAAAATGAATTGATGTCAAGAAAGAGGAGCAGGAGCATTGATATCCCACCTAACTGTAAGTACTAAAAAGCTATGATACAGATCCCAAAGTTATTAAATGATTTAAACAATTAGTAGCACTAGTTTTTGTCATGGCTCAGTATTGTATGGAAACAGTGCTAATCAACCTTGGTCTTGGAGCATCAGTGTTCCCATAAGCTTTTCCTGTCGGTATGATGTATATGTCTGTGTCAAGGTGTTTTCTCTGGTATGTTTCAGTGTCTGGAGACAGAGGAGATGAGGAGCTGAATGAACAGAAGCAGGAACGGATAAAAGAGCCAGAGATACAGAGGGGAGAGCTGCTGGAGGCGGTCAGGATGGGGTACAGAGAGGAGGCGATAGCCCTTTTGAAGTACTACATGAAGCCAGCTTTAGTGGTTCTGCTGTCAGTCATTGGGGCGCTCATCGGGGCAATAGGTGGAGCTCACAGAGGAGCGATTGGAGCTGCTGTTGGGGTTCCCATTGGTGTGGTTATTGCTCTTTTAATCTCAGCGTTAGTAAGAAGTGAAGCCAGAGCCGCGAGAGGTGATGGTGCTTCTCTCACGGTAAGAGAACCCTCGAGCCCCAGCCATAGGGAGCCGTCACTCCACACGGCCTCCGCTTCAACAAGCTGAGGAAAAAGGGGAAGAAGGACAGTGAAACAACACTAACACTGCCACCGACGTCTGTTTTGATTCACACATTGGGCTACAGGACCTGGATCTGTGGAGCAATACAGTCCTGTGTTGATTCTGGTAAAATACAAAAATATGCAGTTGAAATAAGCCTCGGGCCAGTGAAATCAAAATTGCTTATTCGTTTACTTGACTTGCTCAGATGTGGGAGTTTGCTAAGGTTATTTTTTTTACACCTGATTACCAACAACACTAATGGAGCCCTCTTCTCTTTTTTAATGCTTTTTTGTGTATGTACATTTTGCTCACCCCAACACAACATCCTTAAAGGAGGGCTCCAGATATTTTGTTTATTATATTTTATAATATTTAATAAAAGTAGATATATATTTTTTGATTTTGTCAAAACCTTTTTGTTTTGTTTGAAAAAATAAAACGGTGTCATAATTGTACATTTCTCCAACAAATTTGTATATGTCATGTAAAGTATTTGTATTTGTAAGTGCTTCCACTGTTGAAATGACTGATTTATTGTATTTACAGCTGTGTAGCAGTTGGTTTAGAAACTTGATACTCCACCTGTAGACTGCAGTGTCAAATCTCAGGTGGGGCTGTGATACCTTTGTGCAAGGTACTTAACCTGAATTGTATGACTATTTCAAGCTGTCATTGATGGACATGTACAATATGTCAAAATGTATAACTTGTTAGTAGTACTACTCACCTGTGTTTCTCCTGTTTTGCCTCTCAGAGTAAAGGGGTCTGTTTCTTAGGGGCTTGACATTGTTTCAGTCTCCATGCTGTTCCAGACTGAGCAAAGCTCTCACTTACAGCAGAATCATCTCTCTGCTATCATCAGCTTGCTGTCAAATCGGAATGGCACCTGAAAACAGTAACATGGGCATCCAAATACTTGTTATACCTTTTTTAACTGTTGGTCTTATACATGCCTACTGTTGTTGTGGTTGTCTTATTACTTTCTGTGTGAAGGAGAATTACAAAATCTAAAATACGAATAAGGTTTGTATTATGAAAACATGAAATGTCTTTTTTGAAATTTGAGGGTTTTTTATTGAAGTGCCATTTGTTTGCAGAAATACATTTTAACAGATTTACTTCACAGGAAGTAACTTACATAGTGCATCAGTGAGTAAAGTATAACTTTATTACTGGTATTTGGATGGATAACATTGTGTGCAGCTTGTTTTGATCTTTACAATAGTGGTAAGGAGCAGGGAATTGTAACTGAAAGGTTGCTGGTTCACTTCCCTGCTGGGACACTGCTGTTGTACCTTTTGGCAGGTAGGGTACTTAACCCACAATTGCCTCAGTAATTATCCAGTTGAATAAATAGATAAATTGTAATATATGGATCAGAATATCTCTAAATGACAGTAATTTAATGTACAATGCAATTGCTACTGCTTTGCAAAAGCATGGTGCTCAGGCTTACAAGCTGCTGTGGGTTAGTTTACTTCTTCTGTTTGTGTTTGTTTTGCACTTTACCAGTTCCCTAAAGAGTACACCAGTAAAGTGTGAACTGACCATTCACAAATATTCACTGTATCACATGTTCAGAGAAAATGTAATAGTTAAAATAAGGATTGGTCTGTATACATCTAGCACCATGTTGCTTCCTGTCATATGGTTTTGAATACAGTTGTATTCCAACAGTTGAGCTTATGTATGGTGAATCATTCTGAAGCAATTTATATATTAAATTATATATTATTAAAAATAAATATTGTGTACAGATAATGTTGTGTTTGTTCTACTGTGGGGCCCTCTTCTACAGGCACCTACAGGCCACAGTACCAGAGGGTTCTACATAGGGGCAGCATGGCTGACAAAGCACCCAAAATAATTTAAAGGATTTTGCAGATATTTGCATATGGATAACACATTCACCGCTAAGAGCACTCTTATGGTTTGGTACTTTAAATATGAAGAAATTATAATGCCATTATTTTTAACGTGAACTTAAGAGTGTGGGGCATTTTTGTAATCAAGTATATCTTTTTATAGTAACTGTGTTTTTATAGCAAATGAAACCTTACAGTTTTGAAGAGCATCACAAATATATTCAAAAAATGAAAAGGAAGTGAGACCTTAACAGCATAAGAGATGCAGCGAGACAGGGTGTCTGTACAGGTAACAAAAGTTTATTGTGGTAGTTTGTTGGACGAATATGATTTTGGGAAAGGGCACATTCTCCCTCCACTTCACTCACATTATGCAGCGTTCTCTCTCTCTCTCACACACACACACACACACACACTCACACAGCCTGCACATGCCAACACACACGCATTCACATGAGCACACACGCAGACACACACTCAACATGTATAATCCCCCTCTATCTCAGGTTGTTGCTGCTGTTGGGTTGAGAGCCTGCCAGTCCAGGATGGTCAGGGCTGTGACGATTCTGCCAAAAGGGGGAAAATACAGAAATACACTGTGAGAGACACATACTTCTTAACACAACATTAGTCATAACTGTCTTCATGAAAATGACAAACTCTCAATCACTGGAATTAAAAAAACAACTTTCACCATTCATCTGAGGCACATTGGTTTCTGAATATGAACACCTCTCAGATTAACAGAAATCCAAACACACAGCTACACACACACAATAACTGTAAGTAAATATTTGTTTTCTGGACCACCAGACCCTTCATCATTCCACCCCGCTTACCTTCTTCTTTTTCTTGTCCTTTTTCTTCTTCTTACGGTCTGGATCATCATCCCTCTTTTTCTTCTTCTTCTTGTGGTCGGAGTCAGAAGGGGTCTCTGGGAGAAGAGAAAAAATGATATATTTAGGTGTTTATATGGAGCAGGAAGACTGTGTGCACTGCAAGTAGCAGAGCCAGCCATAACAACTTTTACTGACTATGAAGGACACTTAAATTATGAATAAGAACATGCAGACACATGCAGCTTCAACAGGCAACTGACTGTAATTTCAGCAGATCACTGCAAAATGAATTTTAAGTCAAAAACAAAGCACTCGGGTAATACTCATGGGTAATACTCATGACAACTGCTACTAAAGAAGACTTTTCACTGCATGTCGACTTTGCAAATTTACCTCAACCACAGTTTTTAAGAGGTGTATCTGTTCAAGTGTGCGCGCGCGTGTGTGTGCACGCTCATGGACATGTGTTTGTGTGTGTGCCAAACAGAAAAATGTGGTCAATAACGGGTCGGTTTGTGTCACCTGGAGGAATGGGGTCCTGTGGCCTGTGATGCCGATGCTTGTGTTTGCTCTTCTTCTTGGGGGGCTGAATGTGCATGAGTCTGTACTGCTCCGGCAGCTGAAACGCAGAGGGCATGATTAAAAATGCATTCAAATACACACTTACACTCTCTATAGCATGGAGACTCTGAGCAGTTCTGGCAGATCTGGGTGTCTTTCTTTGGTGCAACCACCATGAAACCTGACTGAAGAGATCCAATCAAGTACCATAAGGACCCAACCCCAAGTTTATCTTATCACCTTTGTTCCTGTCGCGGTCATAGCACTGAAAGACACCCAACCTGTGTTTCAAGTTTCTGAATCCCTAACATCCACAATTTGAGGGCAGCAATGTGGCGTAGTGGTAAGGCGCAGGATTTGCAATCAAAAGGTTGCTGGTTCGATTCCCGGCAGGGACACTGCTGCTGTACCCTTGTGCAAGGTACTTAACCCAGAATTGCCTCAGTAAATATCCAACTGTATACACAGATAACATGTACATATTGCAACTTATGTAAATGACAATAATGTAAGGCAATAATTCCATCAGTCAGCTGATGAGGAGCTCAGGTAAAGAGAGGAACAGTAGAGATTATTACCGGCCCTGTATGCAGTCTGAAGCCGGTCAGCATGGCTCCGGTCAGGGGGCTGAAGGAGTTCGCACAGACGGGGGGCTTCTCGATCAGAGAGCGCAGGGAACTGCCGTCCTGGGAGCCTGGACAGTCAATCATACCTGGAGGAGACAGGAGGTTAAAACACAGGCCACAGGCTGCCATTCTTTCATATCATTTATATACTACAGGAGACCCTCACTCATTACAGATCTGCAATTTGCGGCTATGAATATTCATTATATTACATTAAATTCATTTAGCAGAAGCTCTTATCCAGAGCGACTTCCAGCACAAAAGGACAGAAGAGTATCCCTTCAAGTTGAATGAGCAACAGTGTCAGACCAGGCTAACAATGCCCCTAGACCCGTGAGTGTGAGCATTACACTATTTATGCACTACCAAAAGTTGACTTGTGCAACCTGAGCATTCCCACCTGGCTTCACTCGGCCAGGCTTCACTTTACTAGGCTGCAAAGTACTATTCCAACCCATGCTCTCTTAAAAGAGTTTTACACATATGCACCTTTATAGCATTATTACATATACATGTGTAGAAATCGCTTATTTGCTGCAACATAGTTTATTTGCTGAAAGTGTGGTTTTTCTGCGTCTCTTTACCCACAAGTCTTTATTATTGATACAGTGCAGAATCTACAGATTTCAGGGAACACTAGAACACCAGTGGCCAGGGTATCCTCCACTCAGTTTTTAAATACTCTGCCAAAGAATATACAACCTTAAACTATTCTGTGTCCATGGGCCTGTTTTGCCTTACTGATGTCCAGAATGATGTTGAATTGGTTAGATGATCTAGGCAGTATGTCCACAGACAGCGTCCCCTTGACCCGAACGAGCGTGCGGCTTCCGCCCACCTGGCAGCTCCGGCAGGAAGTTGCTGAGTTTCTCCTTCACCTTCTTGCCGCAGAACTTGTTGTAGGCGTGCTCTAGGTTGTAGTGGGTGATGAGGTTGGTGTTCCCCGTCAGCTCGTTCCCCACTGAATGCGGGAGAGAGAGGGAAGCGGGTGCAGGTTAAAGAGGAGGGAAGAAAACAAATTTGCATTTACGGTTAGATTTATTCCTTTGGCAGACAAACCCCTTACAAGTGAGGCAGAGTACAACACAAGCAAAAAACCGTAAGGAGTCAGTGAGAAATGACTGGATTGGCAGTGTGGCGTAGCGGGAAGGTGTAGGACCCGAATGTTGCTGGTTCGATTCCCAGCTGGGGCACTGCTGCTGTACCCTTGGTCAAGGTACTTAACCCAAAATTGCCCCAGTAAATATCCAACTGTATAAACGGATAAAACTGCAACGGATGTAAGTCAGTGGCAGCGGTACTCATACAAAATACATAACCTATGTAAAGTGATATAAAACTCAACACTTCGGGTAAGAACGATTTGGGTATTAATCATCGTTAACTGTGAGTACGCAAAGACGAACAGGTTTAGAAAAAAAACATCTTAAACTACAAAGTACAGGAAGCTTATATACATATAAGACGGTCATAATAAGTGAATAAATGCCTGTATAACGTTAGGTTTCTCATTAAGGAACTACGTAATACATTACATAATACATATTAGCGAGCAAGCTAACCAGCTGAAGCCACAATACTCATGCAAACCAGCTGTTCAATAAAAATGGAAGTCCCGTAACGTGTATCTTATTTAACGTTAAAACTGTGTGATCGCGTAGTCTCGATTTCACGCTCATACTCACACGGTAGTTCTCGGAGTAAATAGAACGGTTCATTCATAGCCCCCGGCTTCCGCAATACAGGCCCCTCATCACCGAGCTGCGCTGGCATCTGTGCCGCCATCGAGACTTGATTGTGGGGTAGAGGTGGCGGCGGCTTCCCTGGACCGAACCCCAGCGCCGATGAGTTTGGGGGACCCTGGGCATCACTTTGGCCGAATAGAGATGAAAATATCTCCGTCATAACTACCACAAAATAATCTGTATTCAAATATTACATAAAAATACACGTATCTATCACAACTTATTCAGCTCAACACCGCCACCCAGGTAAGACGTACCATTTGGGCACGTTTCTGTTGTTGTTGACAATTCAACGAGTTCCGTCCGAGTGTCTTTTCATTACCGTATTACATAAAATATAAACGACACTCCCTACCCCTGAAAGCAAATTACGTACTTGCCATTGTTAATTGACTGACAATATACACTGCACAAACCACATATAAAATATATTACTCAGTGGGGAACGTTAAGCAACTTGTTGATATTTTTTAACAGCACACATGACACATTTTACTCCTTAAAAGTGGTATAGGTCTACTGTGGACCGCCTCCGGTAATTACGGTAAAGGAGAAAACCCTTTTTTCCCATGAAGCTGTTTCCACAAACTTCCCTTATCCCGCCCCTCGCAAATATGACAGACATCTAGAAAAACCAATAATCAGCCCATTTTTTATGCCTCTGACCAATTATATTTTACAAAGGGGACGGAAGTGGCGTTCGTCCCCAATGACCTCCGCTTTTGTGTCTGTCTCTTTAAGTGAAACACACGCATGCTTCGCAAGGAGTCCGGCTATCATATACTCCCCTGCAACAAATTTAGAAGCGTTTCAGCTGTCGGCCTCTCCCCCCTCTCTGGTTTGAAGAAATGGCGTTGCTAACGACATTTTTTGCCTTTCTGTATCACCTGCCACGTGTTTATAAGTGGCTGTTGAAGCCTTACTATGTTGCCTCGCTGATTTTGTCTGTTGCTTTTCTGATGGTTCGAAAGACGCCGGGCATTTGCGAACACCTGGCGTCGCAGAGAGAAGACGGCAATTCCTGCGACTTTGACTGGGTCAGTAAGTAACAGTGTTTGATGAGGAATTAGGAAAGCGATTTTTCTGGGGTTAGTTACAAATGGTTGCAAAGTGTGATTCTGAAGTCTGGATTATATTGGTAATGTTAGCTAGGTAGTTATCATTGTGAGAGTGGGACAGGGAATGGCTATAGAAAGCTCTATCACACTAGCTAATCATAGTACTTAGCAACTGTTAAGTGCAGTAGCTGTAGCCAACGATTTGTGAAGTCACAGCACAAACACAGTTAACTAGGCGTCCAGCCTCCAGCGGCTTGAGTTTGAAGGACGTCCAGTGGTATTGTAGCCAATTGTGTGCATGTGATTCCCACAGAGAGAAGTGGAGATCCTGATGTTTCTGAGTGCCATTGTCATGATGAAGAACAGGCGAGCCAGTAAGTGTCCGTTCTGAGAACGCACTGTTTGTATTACGTGAATCCACTCCTGCGCTGCCGCACGGACGCAGTGGCAGTGGTCGCGAACCTGGTCACACTCGGGCCAGGCCTTCACGTCACTTCTCTGCGCCGCTGCACCGCGCACAGCAAGGGACTGTTCTTAACTGCGCTGTACTGACTGGTTCTGCCTGGAAATCGAGTGTTTTTGAAGCTGCTCTGGACAGACAGCTGTGCTCACTGTAAACACACTACGCACTGACAAACCCCTCCCCATTTTGTTATACATTACTGCTGTTGTGTGCTCTATATACACTGGAGAGTGACTTTGGGGTTTGCTCGATTGTTTGGTAAATTTCGGCTGGCACAAAGTAATGATGCCATGTTTGTTGACGCTCTTCTCTCCTGTTGTCCCCCCGTCCACTCCCCTCTTCCCCACACTGTCTGTCTCTTCAGTCACTGTGGAGCAACATGTTGGGAACATCTTCCTCTTCAGCAAAGTGGCCAATGTCATCCTCTTCTTCCGGCTGGACATTCGCATGGGCCTGCTCTACCTCACCATGTGTATTGGTCAGTACAGCCACGCAGCGTATGGCTATGCAGTGACTGTGTAGCAAACCTTTGCCATAGTGAACCAATGGCATGTCCAGCCCTGTTAATATGGAGACAGCACAATGCTGGCTAAAAAGCTCTGTTTTTAATGAACCGCTGTGACCATCCTGAATGCATTTAGTCCATAAAGACACCTAGTGCCGTTCTGAGTAGCGTAGTAAATCTCTGTGGCTCCACCCTTCTCACAATGTCACCTCTCCTTGTTTCAGTGTTCCTGATGACGTGCAAGCCTCCTCTCTACATGGGCCCAGAGTACATCAAGTACTTCAGCGACAAAACCATAGAAGTGAGTTTCGGTACTAGTATAGAGGACTCCGTAACCTTAAATGTGACATTCGCATACCATAGATGTTAAAGAGTTGGAGACTTCAGGCTAGAGCAGTTTGTGGTAATGCACCACAAGGTTGTAGAAATTAACTTCATTGGTGGGAAGATGTGGTGCCTGTCCAGCAGGGAGCAGAATTGCTCTCCCGCCAAAGTAACATGAGCTGACCAGGAAGGTGTTATTGATTTAGGCAAGCAGGCAGATAAATTATTGCTTGAAAGAAATGTACAGCCTTATGACTGCATTTGCAGGTTTTAGGGCAGAGGTAGTTTTTGGAGTGAAGTGTTAACCGATGTGTGTCAACGGGTTTTGTGTCAATCTCAGGAGGAGCTGGAGAGGGACAGCAGAGTCACGTGGATAGTGGAGTTCTTCGCCAACTGGTCCCCGGAGTGCCAGTCCTTCGCCTCTGTCTACGCGGACCTGTCGCTGAAGTATGAATGCGCATGTGTTGCATGCACTGTGCCACTGATGCAGGCCTCGTGACGCAGTGACACACCTGATTGGCTGTGGAGCTGAGTAGTCTGATTGGCTGTAGACGTCTGGGAGGGACAGAGCTCCTGTGACCCTCCTGTGAAATGTACATAATGTGTATTTCATCTGAATAATAGGGAAAATTTTAAATGCAAAGCTCATCCCTGGGTAGAGATTTTTGCAAATACAGTCTTGC